CATTACATTGTTAAGAACATGCAATTCATGCAAGGCTATGCCCTGTCAGATAAAAGAGTAATGGAGGATAAAGAGCGAGAGAGGATGGATGTACAGTCTTTATTGTAATCATCATCAGCTTCACATTCCTAATTAAAGCATTAACTATTATCTTAAACACACATCTCAACCAACATTATTGTATGTATGTACGCATGCATGTTACAGCATCAATGTAGGTGTGCATTCTGAATATGTTTTTGGATGGCTGGTCAAAACTCTGGCACTAATCAAAATTGAATGAGTCGTGATTTGATTGACCCACAATTTGATTAATTGTAATTGCTGCAACTGACTAACAGTTTTATAATTAGGCCTATCGTTATTATACCCTTCCAGTGTTGTGGCGTCTGACTGAACTGCTGTGCAATTTGTGTACTGAATAATCTCTTTATATGCTGTGGGCCTCTGTTTATACCCAAAATAAATTTCCCCCAGGACTGTTTGATGACTGATAGCACAATATTTCTTCTTTTTTCCTGAAAGGGTGCATCAGTCAAACAAAGTCAAGCCAAATTAATTTAGTAAATATTTACTAAGCAAAACTGTCTTGCAGTGATTTACTGGGAGACAAAGCAGTGAGCAATTCTCAGACTTTAAGCTAAAATGTCACAATGGTGAAATAACAATCTTGCCTAAAGGGAGATGGTTTAGGTAGAAAGCTGCTGTGAGTTCAATCTATGATCTGAGCTTCAAGTCCAGAAATATGTCAACTGTACTGATTGGTTGGATTGCCTGCACCCATCCTTCATACAGGAGCCGTCATTGGACAGAGGATTTATCTGCCTTGTGTCAAAAGGCACATCAACAGGTTTCGCTTTGTCAATCTCACAGGCCATATGTCACTCATTTAAACATCTGCCTCACATCACATCATCATGGGCCCGTGTGTGTGTGTGCGTGTTAGTGTGTGTATTTCCACATTTTTGGATATTTTCTGTGTGAGAAAATCAAGTGCTGTACTTTTAGCACAGTTTTGAGTCAATATTTATTATTGATATACAGTAATTTGTGTGCAATAAATATATTCTGTGCTGTGTTGTTTGTTCCTATAATAGAAACCTCAATAAACCATTGAACAGAACCATGAAATTACATCTAAATATCCACTGAGCCTTCATGGCAGTCTAAAGACCTGAATGTCCTGATTGTGTTATATTCCTGTGAATGACATTTGGATGCACATTCCCAGCTCAAGTCTCCATCTGTCTTTCTCTCTCTCTCTCTTCCTTGTTCTCTTGCTCTCCTACTGTGTGACACCCTGATATTGGATTGACCTTATAGGCTGCAGAGATTGGGACATCATTAGCTGTGACCAGCCGCAGACTTGCTGCTCAGGTCTCCTACATTAAGCCACTGCCCCCGAATGGATCACATAGCATTGACAGAAACCAGCTGGGCTCAGTTACACAGCACAGCCATGGTGGCAATAGAGATGTCAGCAAAACCAATAAGAGACAGGCCATTAGAAACCACTGCAGCGCTGTATGTAATGTCAATAGGTGTGGAATTATCTGACTTCTATGACATGAGGTAAAGGGATCCTTTAAACATACAAACATACAATAAAATGAGAAGATCATCAGGGTTATGATGCCATGGTGAGCCACACAAGATACTTTATAACAGTTCAGCAGGCTCCTCGTAACAAATAAGCTAGTTTATGAATAAAATAATATAAGAAAATAAAGAAATATAAAGGTATATGAATATCTTTATATAGATATTGATCAAAACATAGATTTACAATATTTAAAATGTACAAAAATACATGTTTTTCTCAATAATGTAATTACATCATCAACATGCTAAATTTTGGTTAAAAGTGGCTCTACGATAACCTCACTAACGATAACTTCAATAATGATCCTAGCCAGATTATACTTTTATGGCAGCAACGCTTTTGTAAGGACAGCCCACATATTTTTCAGCTGGTCGATATCTTATTTTGGTACAAAACTCTTGTTTCTCTCTGATTCTCTGCTGACTATTTCCCTCTCCCACAGCCATGCTCACAGGTAAAGGATCAAGCTGAGAGGGCTTATTGTTTTTCAATAGCTGCCCCCCGGCATAGTTCTGAAGCCCTGGGTCTTAAATGACCACAGAAGGTATTGATCTTCATAATGCACTGTTTTTGTTGTTAAATAACCACCACAGGAAATCCGATGAAAGGTCCTGACCTTTCTCTAAGCCTCTATCATTCCACCTTCACTCGGCTGTATGAATGCATTCCACTATGGAGGGGATTACTAGGAGACAGTAAATACTGCACGTCACTTAATGTTAGATTGGAAAAGTGCCTATGCATTATTGACTGTTGTTAATGATGGAAGGGTCTTTTATGAAAGGTTTTTCCCCAGCCAGCTTCCATATGTGAACCAGCTCCTTGGACAGAATGATCACTTCCCTGAAGGCCTGAAGTCAAGACAGGCAGCGAGAGCATGATTATGGATTGAATTTATGACTGCGTTCCACTGGTCTCTGAACACTTCTGCTGGCATGATGAGGCAAATTTCTCTCTCTTTAAACCTTCTGTTTACTCTGCTTCTCGCAGTTCAGCCAGAAAATTGTTTTTATCATTAGGCACAGATGCTGCAGTCTGAGTTCTTTATATCGTCTGTGAACAAGGTTCCCATTTTGGATGATGCAAAGGCAGCCACCCCGCTGCTCCCTTGAAACCTAACCGTGACAACAAATGAAACAAATATAAGTGAAAATTCATGCTCTCGATTGACAATAGGGAAATCACTCTCTCTTACCTTCCTCGCCCACCATGTACGGGCAATGTCTGAGCTCTGAGGCAGACCTCCAAGGCTGTTCAAGCACAAGTAGCGAATATAACGAGCCTCAGCACACATCATTGGCAAACAGTTGACACTAGTACAATTTATCGTCCCTGTGGCCAAACTCAGCAGCCACATCCTCCTCCCTATTACCCCATAACGCTGTCTTTCAGATCTCTCTTTCTCTGTGCTTCTGTTTTCAGGCTACAGCGTGGCCTTTCAAGCTTTGCTTCGCATTTGTGTGTAGGTGTACATGGGCGCGAGAAGAGAATACTTTTAGCGACTGAGATCTTCCTTTAAAAAGCACATTGCAAAAAAGGTCTACTCTTACATTCTCTCTCCCTCCCACTTTCTCTTATTCTCTCAGTATCTGTCTTAGCAGCATAACCCTTATTAACATCCTAATTGGATCATGCAATGGTGTTTTGAGTCAGCTGAGCAGGTCCAATGACCCATAATCGCTCAGTCTTGTTCTACCTCATCGTGTAGTTATCGCTTATAGCTGAGGAGCAGGTTGCTGATAGCAAATCACAGACCCATGGGAAATAAAATGGACTGAGAAGATCTGTATCTAAAAACAAGCAAGTCATACATATATCTTCCTGTAAAGAAGATAAAGTATCAAATAATGTTATTCTCTAAGCAAGAGGAGTTTAGGGTCCTTACTCAAAGACAAAAAGCAGCCATTGGTCTTTTCAAATAAAATATAATGGCGTCTGCTTATCAGTATTCCTGCCAGTGATCTTCACTCCACAAAGTGGCAGTCTGTGTTGAATGCACTGCAATACCGGAGAGATAAGCGGGTAATGTTTCAGATAGCGCTGTTCTCACCTTTAGATAATTTTGCGTGTAGAGTGTCGGATGATTGCTGATTATCGAACCGCTTTACAGTTGATCTGAATCTCATCTGCACTTAACCTCATTGTTCCTGGAGCAGAGGTGAGAGGAATGTCAATTGGAGTGTGTCTTGAGCTCTCTGGCTCTGTTTCAGCTCTCTCTCTCTCTCTCACTGGCATTCACTCACTGGCATTCACTCACTCTCTCACTCTCTCTCTCTTTTTCACACACACACACACACACACACACACAAGGATACATACTGCATGTGCACACACAAGCAAACAGATTCGGAGCTCTCTACCCCTCTCACAAACAAACATAAACACATCAAGAGCTCCTCTTTCTCCCCACTAACACACTCAACACAGACACACTCAGTGGATGCCTATGGTACAGAGCAGACACAGGCCCATAAAAAATGCATGTCCCTTTGCGTGTTTTATAAGAAACACTCATTGGGATTCCATTCCCATCTCAGCTGAAAAACCACACAAGAATATCAATTACACTGGCAATTTGGGTGGCAGTATAGGTAGGAATGGCGCTGAACGAGAATATGGGATCCACAGTGTCATCTTAATGAGAGGGTCACTGTCTCCTGCAGCTCTAAGGCTAAACCAACAGGGAACTGGAAAAACAAATAATTGTGGACCAACATCCAACCAGGAGATGTTTTAGGGTTTGTAATCGTGAGGGTGGGACTTTTTTTAGCGAGCTGCTTTATAACTAACAACTGTTCTTGGATTCCACTTTTCCTCTGAATATTTTATTCAGAACTAAATATTAAAACACTACCTTTTTGACATTTCAATTGCTTAACTTGCCTTCCTAAAATTATAGAGCCTAGCTTATCCCTACCTTTTTCCCTATTTGTCCATTTTGTTGTACAAAACTCTTTCTGCACAAAGGTAAACTAGCATCTTAAAATTTCAGATATTGAATAGCTTTGGTCTTGATTTCAAATGTTTTCACCATCATTCTGATACATTCTGATCCAATTTTTGTCAGTAAGTTTGCTTTAGAACTGCTCAGCTAGCAGGGAGAGCTTCTCTCTGATACAATCCAAAGGAGCCAACAGGTAACTCACGCAGTCTAACACAAAAAGCAATTAAATTCTGCCCTAAACCACTCGTCAGCAAATTGTGAAAAATTAATTTCATGAGCTGGCTATAATTTCTCTAGCTGTTCTTTTTGTTTTATTCTCACTGGGTCTGCCTTTTGTGCATTTTTTGAATCATGACAGATACTGGCCCAATTTTTCGTACATTTAATATTGAACACTTGATGTATTTGAATGTAATGTTCACTTACACGTGTGTATCTATTTGTTTTTAATAGGAGAATCCTTACATGTGCAACAATGAATGTGACGCCACCACTGAGGAGCTGGCCCATCCTCCAGAGTTAATGTTTGACTTTGAGGGTCGCAACCCCACAACTTTTTGGCAGTCCACCTCATGGAAGAAATACCCAAAGCCTCTTCAGGTTAACATCACGCTGTCATGGAACAAAACCATTGAGCTGACTGACGACATCATACTCACGTTTGAGTCAGGCCGACCAGAGCAGATGGTCCTGGAAAAGTCACTCGACTACGGCCGGACCTGGACCCCATACCAGTTCTATGCCACTGACTGCCTGGACGCCTTCACTATGGAACCCAAGACAGTCAACGACCTCACTCAGCGCACCCTGCTGGATATCATCTGCACTGAGGACTACTCCCGAGGCTATGTGTGGAAGAACGACAAGACAGTACGTTTTGAGATAAAGGACCGCTTTGCCGTCTTTGCTGGTCCTCGGCTACACAACATGGCCTCACTGTACGGCCAGCTGGATACCACCAAGAACCTGAGGGACTTCTTCACCATCACCGATCTGAGGATTAGGCTGCTGAAGCCAGCCACTGGAGCCACCATGGTGGATGAGAATAACCTGTCCAGATATTTCTATGCCATCTCTGACATCAAAGTGCAGGGCAGGTAAGAGCTATTTATATTTCTTACTGGATTTTGTTTTGAATTAAATCAATATTTGACGTTTGTGTGCTTCAGCCACTTAAGCTGTTTTTAATTTAAAGCATCTTAAGTTTGTTTTACTTTTTAAAAATTTTAAGTGAAAGCTAGCATGGTGCTGGTTTCAAGTTCACAACCTGTGCCCTGCTGAGCTTTCCAGTATACAAACATAAGTAATGTTTTTATTTAATATTTCACACAAAAAAAACAAATAATTGTGTGTATCCTTCCTCATAAAACATTTACACAGCTGATTTTACAATATTTTTAATCGTGTATGGTTTACATCCATGTTTACTTGTTAGCAGTCTTTGCAATTTACTGCTGTTAATTGTCATTCAGTGGAATAGCCTCAAACCTTGTGTGAGAACAGCAATTGTCAAGAAAGTCACAAAAAGAGCCTCCAATTTTCTGTAAAATTTTCTTAAACCAGTATCTATATAAGAAGAGCACATCTTGCACATAATTTAGACCAGGGGCCGGTTGCACAGCTAACATTTTCCATAGAGTCTGAGTTATCGTTTGTTAAAATAAATTGGTTGCACATAACCTTAAAAGTCCAGTTTAGGATTTAGTGGCACCTATGAGGGTAGTTGCAGGTCACAACTCACTCCCTTTCCCTTCCCTTCTAAGTGTGAAGGACAAACTATGGTGGCTGTAAAACGTGCAAAAAATATGAATGTGCCAATCTAGAGGTTTTCTTTGGTTTTCTTATACTCAAAGAAATCATTAGAGTTGTTAAATAAAATACCTTAGCAACCAAGGTAAGGAAAATAACATACCTCTGACTCAATCTTATCCTTAATCTTAATTAAAGAAAATGTACATTTTTTTATGGAATAAATCCTGTCCATAAATTATCACATTAGATACCTCACATAGCTGCAGGTGAAATAATAAGATGGACATATATGGTACAAGATGTAACCTTGTCGTAAAACCTTGTTTGTTTAGTTTGTTTGACAATTTCACGGATTTTATGGCCTTATAATTATCACAGACCATCAGTATTAACAGGGGGTGGCCAGCCATGTGCTATTGAGAGCCAAGAGTTTGCATGTTTTCATTCCAAATGAAGATACCACACAATAATTAGCACGACTTCAAGTAGAGAGGAAGAACTCATCAGTGAGATCACCTGCTGAGGTAATCAGTTGGAATGAAAAACTACATACTGTGGTTTCTCCATGGTACACTGACCACCACAGTATAAATCAACCTTCTTTTTTATGTGAAAAACATATCTGTTATCCCATATCCACAAAGAGACGTAAAGAAAATGTATGATTTTCAGAAACCACCATAAACTGACCAACAAATTAACTGCCCCATTTAAAACATGGGTGGAATTCTATGAATGCAATTTCATGATTTTAGTGAACTGATACATTGCTGATTACAACTGGTTGTAATTTTTAAAATGCAAAGAAGTGTCAATATCTCCTTTCTTGGTCAGTGTTTACAAGCATAAAGTGTTTGCGTGGCCTAGAATAAGTTCAAACCAGCTAAAATGTCTGTTCCTAAAATAAGTCTGAATCAGGAAAAAAGTGGCAGTCTGAGCAGAAACTGAACTCTAGTCTCCTAAATTACTTATTATAACCCTAACTTGACAAGGACAGAGGGCTGAGATTGCCTCCTGTGAGCCGTGGCAAAGAGAAGAGTTTTAATTCATGTCTCTCTTAATTTTTTATTACAGACACACATCAAGATTCTACAGACATCTCATACTCTCATAATATGTTATCATAATTATTGGGTCATGTAGCACATAAAGTCGAACTTACTTTCCATGACTTTTGATGAATATGAACATTGTACATCATTACAAAACTTTGTCTACATACACAAAGTTTCTTAATGTAATTAGTTATCCTGCCAGGTCTATTACACTTACAGATATCACCATCCACACTTGTCCCCTGAATCACAAGAAGTCTTGTATCTGGTGGTCTTTCCCTACTCTGATTATCAGCCCAAGTGCCTTTATGTGTTATCCTCTAGCATCAACCTCAATGCTAGAGAAAGGTTAGCTGCTAGTGTGGCTAAAAAGGTTGCACACAGAATAATTTATGATCAAATGTTTCATGAATGAGTTTTTTTTTTTGTCGATATGAAATTACATTTTTTATTTACCTTCAAATAATAGAAGTACAGAGAGGACAGCCCACAGGACAGCAGAGAGACAATTTCATGTTTTATTGCTCAATATACAATGATTTAAGGACTGCTCCTTATAGTAGAATGTCTTTTTTCTGGATGAATAATTATTAAGAAACATGAGAAACTATTGTAGGAAGGGAACTTTTGGTGTGGCTAATTTTATTTGTATAGCCTTAAACAGGAGACAAGTTCTTTGTTTGCAATGTAATGTTATGTTCATGTAATAAATAGATAGACTGTATGATTAATTAGCCCTTGATATATTTTTGTTTAAAGTTTATTAAAGCTGCAATAAAGTTTTAGCTTTTTTTTTTTTTTTTAGCATTTTAGGGGACAGCAGAACAAGCTGTAAATATGGAAATCAACTTACAAAATAATTTTTGGAAACTTATCAGCAAAGAATTTAGCATTCGTTTGGATTGGGTTTCTGGCTCTGGTCTGATCTTCACCAGCAACTTGTTACCTGCTAATTGCTTTACTGTGTTCACCAGCTAGTCGCTAACTTTGTCTGTCTGTCATTTGGTATTGTGTACCATGAGTCAATAAGATTTTATTGCTGCAAACAAGGACGATGAAAGCATGCATTTTCAGGCTGGAAATCCAGAACAAAAAATCAAAAAATGTTTGAGAGTTGCAGAATGGGGTGGTTCATTACAAGCAACCCCCTTCACATTACACACACACATTTGATCCAGTGTTAATACAAAAAGGATTGATTAGTGCAGCCGGTTTTCAAATTAGAATTCTATTTTATTGGAAATTAGACTACTCCTCCCTCTCTACTTTAGGTAAAAGTTCATGGTTCACAAACTTTCCAATTTTAAAACCTACAATTTTTGTAAAATTAAGAAAACTTTTAGTGCATATGTCTGTAACACAGCTTGTAGTGCTTTAGTGTATAATAGTTTTCATCAGTGAGTCATCAGAATGCCTCTGTGATTTTCAGGGAATGGAAACATTGTCATTTCATGACGCATGGAAATAGCCCACATGATGGTCGTAAAGCCTCTACAGCTGCTCTCCAAATGGGACCTGTGTTGCTTGCTGCAGTTGGTTTATATGAGGATAACTAGGTTGGTAATGACCCATTAGATGGGCCCTGGGTGAATTGAAACAGTTAGTCCCTAATTAGAATTCAGTCGACTTCAATGGAAGATTAGAAACATTAGCACGTTGGCTAATTGGTAGGAGACTAATCTTGTAATTAAGAGCATTTGCAGCTGATTAAATGGTAATCATCAGAGACACATCAGTGAAACGTGAAGACATTCAAAATTGCCATGCTGTGGTTCCAAATTTAGCCATGCCCTGTTTAATAATAAGTAGATTTATGGTTTAATCTGTGAGGTTTCCTTTTTTGAGGAAGCAACAGTTTTTGCTTTAAATAACAATTTTCAGAGATCTCTAGTATTTCTTAATCATCTCTGACTGCTGTTGGCAAAGCTGAACAAATCAGTCACTGAACATGAGCTGTCATGACTGGCAAAATGGTGACAACATTTTATGATGTTTGATGGTCTTTGATCACATGCCATACCAAGTTTTTCATAATGGTGGCATGTGATATTCCCAAGTCAGGCCCATCAGAGAGATACACATGTTTTGCAGTCAGCCACACTCTTCCAATATTCACACTTGTACTGTAAACATGAATTGATGAGTTCTAAATTGCAAGGCCTGCAACCCAGCACAGAATAGCATCTCCCACAGATATCTTATTTTGCCATTCATTACAAAGAGTAGCAAAAGGTTGGATGAGGGGGAAATAAGCTATTTTGCCCAATTTTCAAACCTGCCCCTGGGCATCAAATTCAATTTTCCACCAAAAGTTTGCAGTGAGAAAGAAAAGAAAATAAACATACGATTTCTGTCCAGAGGTGGATCAGTAACTCAATTGAAAGAGGGTGATGGAGGCGGGTGGGGAGAGACTGATTAGAGTTCCCACCAGCCTCAGCAGCCTTCTGGCTACAACCAAATGTGAAAGCCTTATCACAGAATGGCCATCCTGTCTGAAAATTCCCAGAATACTACACAACACTACACAGTGAAACTTTCACTCATGCGCAACTGTATATTTGCAGTGTCAGGTAACCTGCAGATATGTTCATGAATGTCAGAGCTCTGAATGGATGGATATCGGCATGCTTTAAAAATGTCAAATTATATGTCCACAGTGATCTATGAATGATTTAGCCTAATTTTACATTTATATTTCAGAAATGCTTTACAAAGATAAATAGATAATATACAAATTAGTTACAAATGAATAAGTGATTTAATTAGATGAAAATGAAGAAAACTCACTTGCAGCCAGCGGGCATTGTGACTGCCAAGCACACACGCTGCTCAGGTGTGAACGAGCCGTAAGAGCTTGATGTTATGACCACTGAATCCACAAAAAACTACAAATAGGCGGAGATAAATAAACAATAACAATAAAAATTCTAATATTAAAACAACATTATCGACATGTTTCATTTGTGGTTTTTTTCACATTTTTAATGATTGAGGCTCATTATCTGCAGGCTTTTTAAAGTCATTGCGCGAGGAAATCACAAACTTAAGTACCCGAAGCAGGTTGTAGTAAAGCAGGCGCTCCAACAATAGTAAATTACATTTCATTCAGAATTGAAGAAAGCTTCAGATGCCACACATGACATGACAGTATAAAAAAAACATTATTTAAAAATCTAAGAATTGTTACAGAGCACATGTTTACAAAACTGACTTTACAGGGCTCAGAATCACATTGCACTTAAAATACTGTGACAAATCTTCCTGTGCAATGATCTTGCATGATAGAAAAG